ATATATATATATATATATATATATGTGTGTGTGTGTGTGTGTGTGTGTGTGTGTTTGAAAAATAAGATAGAATTAATGAAAATACGTTTTCTCTTTCGACTGTCTAATGCAATTAAACTATTGCTGAAAGTAAAACAACAGCTGGCATGGAGATATACCCCCCCTCTCCCACGTCTTGAAAAGTATTAAAACCTTCCTGATCTTGACAGGTTATGTCTGCTACAAGATGACGGATGACAGGCGGGATGGACGGAATATTATAGATGAGAATCTCTCAACCGTAACGCACGATATTCGTACTGTGTAAAGTAATAACCTCGGATGCTAACGGTTGGGATAATGAATTACGGTACAAACTATACTTTTTAACTTGAGAGTCGAAATAGTTTGTGCAACGAAGAATTACTTACATTAACAAGCTTAAAGAATGTAGCTAGTAGTCACAATTAACAAACTTGTACCATCATTCTGTGCAACAATGAATAATCGTATACTGTTATACTGCATAACAATTAACAATATTGCACCGTTATACTGTGCAACAGTGAGCATCTGTGTTCTGTTATACTACACAGCAATGAACAATCTTGTACCGTTATACTGTGCAACAATATACAATTGTTTACAGTTGTACTACATAACAATGAACAAATTTTTACTGTTTAACTATGCAATAGTATAGTCTAGTACCATTAGACTATGGTGTTCGGTTATATCCCGTAGCAATTAACAATTGTATACGATTATGTCACATAGCAATGAAAACTCGCGTTCGGTTAACTACCAATTAACGAACGATTAATTACAGTTATACTATTTAACAACTAACGAATTTGCACACTTACAATTGATAACCACAACATAGCAGTGTCTATTTTGTACGGTTTGTAGTTGCCACATCATTTTTCACGCTGTACGTAAAACACAAGTAAATGTTGTCCGCAGGTACGGTGATACCAGGAGCGTGTGGACAATGGCCAGTTTGTTTTCCCAAATATTCCGCTTCCTCATCGTCGTTAGAGCATGGGAACAACGCCAAAGTAGCGTGCAAGCTTTAACCTCGAGCGGTTGGAAGCAGTGTGCCCGAGAAAAATGGGGGAGTGGGTTGTCTAATTTCCGATCCCCCAACGAGAACCTTCACATTAGATAACGCGAACTACAACGCATGGTTGAAGGACCATTTCAAAGGAACCCCTAATAGGGGAATTCCCTCACACTTTTGAAGTAATCTATAGAAGATGAAGTCGTAACAGTAAATGGTAAACGTCAAATATCGATGTAACTGCTAACAAAATGCTACTGTGGAAAGTTATAAATTACTGCAAACGTGAATCTACTTTTAATGGTTGGAGACGGCTTGAATGGGTAATGAAAAAAACTTTAATACAAGTTTAACATAACAGCAAATGTACAACGTCGAAACGTTGTACATTTGCTGTTATGTTAAACTTG